AACCATTAACAATTCAAAAAGCAGAGATGGATTCATACTGTTCTTTACCTTCCCAATCGGCAAAAGGTACAGGAATGCCTGAAAGAGGAACCAGAGCACTACGATACCAAAAACTTCGAAGTCCCACAGCGTTTCAATAGCAGGCAAGGCGGGAGGGAAGTTCAGGACACTGGGATCACCCAGGTTGCACATTAGCAGGAGAGAAAAGACAACAGCCGGGAGAAGTAACACCATGAAGAAAGCCCCTAAAATAGAGAAGTCAGATGAATCTTAAGAACATGTCAACCTTATACTCAGGATAATGACTTTAAGTGAAGTATGCCATGGGGTCAGATTTAAAAAGCTACCACCTTTCTACGATGAAAATGAATATTTTGGGACTATTATGGCAGAAATAATTTTAGTTCAATGATTACTTGTACTTGTTAACAATAAATTTCTTATAAGAGCCTCGTCGTGCTAAGTGAGAAAGTGAGTTTTAAAATGTCACGGTTATGATTCAAACACTGCGTTTACTTTCACTTGATTTTACATGTACCAACTACAAATGAGTCACCTTTTAACACATCACTGCCGTTTTGGATCATGATGGTGCTGTAATCTTGTTTACTCACTTTAATGTAATTCAACATGTGTAGTGACCATTAAGACAGGCAGTTTTTGTTGCTCTTGACTTACCTATCTTTCCTCCAAATTCCAGTTCAGTTGTCTTAGGCACTATGGATTTCTGAGACTTTAAAAGCACTTTCTCCTCTCTCTCCACCTCTTCTGGTTGAGCAGTTTTGGTAGTGGCTTCTTCCCTCCGGGGTCGCAGGTTGTAACGTACCTCCATGCGGTTCTTCTCCATTTCAGACTCAACCTTTTGCTGTAAAAACAAATCATTGACATTTCAACACCCAAGAGCAAACAATGAAATGATTCTAAAAAGAAAGAGCTAGACGTCTATAATACCAATATATCAATTAATTACTTTCAAACAAAATTACACGGTAACAATAAAATGCAATTGAAGAAATTCTGAAAAAAAGTATCATGACAAATGATAAATACTTTTGCAAAGCTAACCCATTAGCCATTACTATTAACTCACACCTTGCTGTATGGAGAGAAGCATTTCATAAGTTAATCTAGGGCTTTTAGGCTACTCATACACTTATCGTTAGCATTGAAGCTCCCCGACCGCACACATTACAATTAAACAATGCAAGAAGGAATTTTCATGAGAAGGGTATGTGATGTAGCAGCTCATTTTTAGTCTGTGCTAGGTTATTTAATTTATATTGTTCAAAATAAGTACTGTATTATAGAAAACAAGGTTTTAAGAAAAACAAGAAGGAAGTAAAACTTTCAAATTCTTATAAATTGAAACAGTAAGTTAATACTATACTTTGGTAATGTTTAAAATGTAACAAGTCCACAAATGTGCTGTTGTTTTATTCATATTCATCATTTTGAGTCATTCTATGTATTTTTAATCGACTTTTGCTGATAAAAACATAATCAGAAATGGACAGAGCTTTAGCCAAAAATAATAATGTAATTATCAACCCTAAAATTACTGAAATTGATCATGTTATTCGTATTAGGATTCATGCATTCTAGTCCAATAATGTCAGTTGCACCATATTAGTCAAGCAGAAAGGCTTTTCAAACAACTTAACGTTTGAAGTTAATGTAAAAACGATGCACTCGGACAAATCTTCTCCAGCGATTTTCTTTCAGTGATACAAACTACTGAATAAGCAGTGAATAAAAATAAATTCAACAGTAGTCTACTGAGTACAGAATCTCAATTTTTACTTGACCTTTTACATTAACCATTCATGTCTTACACTAGAATGAAGGAAACTGCATTTGGAATAGTTTGGGCTCTTACAAATAACTGGAATATTTTTACTGAGGTTTCCTGAAAATGTTGCACAGACGTCTCAGTGACATTCCCATTTAATTCCTCGCCTCTCACCTCAATGACGTTATGGGCAGTGTCATTCTCCTCTTTCTTTTCTTGCTGATTGTTGGTACTGTTCACAACAGGCTTTGCCTGGGACAAAAAAAAGTTGATACCATGAAAAAACAAATTTAAAGAGAAAAGGCTTGAAAATATACAGGGAAAAATAGTGTCACTGCTCCAGCAATAATGACAAAAAACAAATGCAAATATGTTGAAAATGCTGTTTAACAGATCACTGCAAGGGCCAAAGAGCAAAACCAAACTGGAGTCTCCAGAGGATCAGAAAGAATTCTAACTGATGTATGGTTCAATTAATATCATTGTCTAGAGGTAGACTTCATTCCAATGGTGTGAATAGTGACCTGTATACAAGAGGGGGTTAAATTCACACAAGGAAGCAAGCCATTCGTTTCTACTCTGCTGAAGTACAACTGTCTTCTGGGATTTGATGGTGGAGTCTGCTGATTTAAAAAAAAAACTTATGCTTGTATAAATAAGACTATAAATGACATAAAAGGGATAACAAAAATAACCTGTGTAATTCCTAGTGTAAATTATGATACAAAGCATAGTATGAAGGTACAAAGCAACTAACTGTCCTCCAACATGTCCAACGTCATAGACGTCTACTAAACAGTATAAATGTTATGCCAAACAGCTTTGCCACTTCCATCCCAATGAGAAATATTCTAATATTATAAAGAACAAACATACAAAGAATATATTCCCATTAATGCCACAGAAGCTAGCTCATTGCATGGCTAATCATGGTGAAGCTATTAAGAAAAACAGACCTTCCACTGTGGCAATCCAGAGGCCCTTGTGACCTAAATCCAGAGTAAGGGTATCACAACTCAGACACACTTGGTCAGTCATAGGAGGTGAATTGCAACGAACCTGTAAGCTAGTTTTCTCTGTAGATTTTTTGGCAGGAATGTGTCCAAGTCCCCCAGACGGGAATTTCTGATGTCAGCCACATCTACGTTATTCACTGCTATGTTATAAACAAGTATCTCTTCAAAACATGAACTTCTTATGAATGTAAAAAACGGTACCAAAGCATTTGGTCCAAGTTCAACAGACTACGGAACAGCTTCTACCTCCAGGCAATAAGACTGCTAAATAGCCAACCTGCAGCTCCTTTAGCAAATCACCTGTAATGGCTACATGGACCCACAGTTTTCACTGTATTCAGCACAGCTGCATTACTTGTATATATTGCATACACCATGGACACATAGCAGCTCTACTCATAGTGATTTTTATTCTGTTTCTATTACATCTACTATTATGTAACCTTAATTTTGTGATTTTTGTGTTTTTGTGATTCTTGTGAGCTTGCAGAAAAGACATTTCATTGCCAGCAACTACTGCTGCACGCTGTATTGTTGTGCATTTGATAAAACACTTTGATTTGATATTGCAATGTTCTTTCCTTCTCTTCGCGGTTACCTCCTATGTTCAAGTTGTTTATACACCTCTTGGCCAGATCATCTTGGTTCTGTACTGACTTGTCTAGTTAAATAAAGGATTATCATTATTCAATCATTGTGCTCCATTTGCTTAAGTCAAGCATATGTACATGTGTAGATGTGCAACGCAACATCTTTCTTGGACACATCCTGACGTACATGTTGTCTATGTCATAAAGCACTCAAAGGCATTCAGTGAAGAGTGAACTATAGAAAGTCGTTTTCCTACCACAGGAGACAGCTTGACTTCCAGGACCTCCTGGATCTTGGTCTCCTTGCGCACATCTCTGCTTCGCGAGGACGAGCGGCGTGCAGGCCTGCCAGGGGAACGGGAGCGACTGCGCCGCCGGGATGGAGAGTTGGAGCGGCCTCTTCGCCGAAACCCCGAGATCCGCTGGACATGTCGAAAAAAAAAGGCCCTTTACACGTACTAATAACACACATTTGGGGAATCGCAGAACAGACCCATCACAAACGGCTCCAAGACTGTCAGTGTGCAAGCAGGTACAGGCTTGTGACTAACTTCACAGCAACTGTAATTCATAACTGGGTGCTAGCTGCAGATGTTCAAAGTGGGAGCAACCAAAAAATGTATCTGGAAATACACAGGTGTCACTCCATCACAGAAATTAAAAACGGATAGCACAAAATATACTGTTGCTCTCTAAAGTATAGATGGACTTGGCTTTTCCAGGGTGATTCTGTTTCATTATTCTTTAAAAAAACGTAAAAAACAGTAAATGAGTGCTCTTCTCCCTACACTATTGAGTATTGAGGAGTCTATTGAGCTTTAAATGAACTACAAGCACAGGTAAAAGGAAATTAGAACAGTCACAAGAGAGAAAAGAATATTGCAAAGTTTGGAGAATGTGAATATAAGTGAATATTTCACTGAAGTGTATATCAAGAGAGAAAACAGCTGATCAAAGAAAGTTATAACGCTAGTATAGAAGAGTGACTTATTACAGGCAATAGAAGAAAACATGACCTGGATGTATGCTAACCAGCTGTAAAAAAGGAAATGAAGGAGACCTTCCTGAGATCATGCAACAGCAGTAAAGGATGCAAAAAGCTAACAATATGGCATATTTACATTTTCAGAATAATAATAATAATTGCTTACACTTATATAGTGCTTTTCTGGACACTCCACTCAAAGCGCTTTACAGGTAATGGGGACTCCCCTCCACCACCACCAATTTGCAGCATCCACCTGGATGATGCGACGGCAGCCATAGTGCGCCAGAACGCTCACCACACATCAGCTATCAGTGGGGAGGAGAGCAGAGTAATGAAGACAATTCATAGATGGGGATTATTAGGAGGCCATGATTGGTAAGGGCCAATGGGAAATTTGGCCAGGACGCCGGGGTTACACCCCTACTCTTTTCGAGAAACACCCTGGGATTTTTAATGACCACAGAGAGTCAGGACCTCGGTTTTACGTCTCATCCAAAGGACGGATTTATGGTTTTATGATTAAGTTAATCACAGAAGATTAATTCTCAAATTGCTGACAGTGGGCAATCACGGCAGTACAGGTGTTTGGACTAAGAACTGGTTGATAGATAGGAGAGGAGTACAGATAAAGTGTAACTGCTCAAACCAGAATAACACATACAAAGATTGTAGATAAGAGCTTGAAGACACCTCTGAAAAAGACTGATGTGCTTCTTAAGAATGTTTTATCTTGAAAACAATACAAAAATGGATTATGGATGCAATAAAAAGCCAAGTAAAATATCTGGATATATAGTCAGGAGTGCAGAATTAGGATTAAAGTTTTAAGCATACTATGTTAAAATTGTACAAAGCACTAGTAAAACCATATTACATAAATAAAGAAACAAATGTACAACCCTAGTCACCATATTACAAGAAAGATATTATTGCTATGAAATCTGTCCAGTAGAGAGCAACCAGTTACACAAAGGGTTTAAAGGAGTCTCCTACACTGACAGATTAAAAGAACAGATCTTTATTAAAGCTGAACAGAGATGAGATTACTATGAGGGGACTTGATTCAAGTATCCAAACAAATCTTAAAAGGCTTTCACAAAGTCAGTCCAAAGGATTTTTTCCAGAATCAAGTTAAAAACAAACCAGGACACACGGTGAAGCTGTGTTTAAGTGCATTCGAACCTGAGAACAGGGGGGCACATCTCTATACAAAGAGTGGTGGAAGTATGGAGCAGCCTTGCTGCACTGCTGTCAAATATGATACCCTGACTTGTTTCAAAAAACATTTGAAATGCTTAGGTGACCTAGCTACTAGCCATCAAGTGAACTAGATGAGCCTTCTCTCATGTGTAACTTTCTAACTTATGTTCTTAAGTTGGATTTACATAATCAATAAGAAAAACCGTTGTACGCAAACATTCGGGCACCACTGTAGCTTGGATCTTTTTGAATAGTTAGCAATGTGCCTTTTTTTAAGCTTGAGTGCTCATGTCCAGAGATCGAGACTTTGCACTAATTCAGATTAATTTTAAGAACAAAACCTTGTAATTGTGGCATATTGTGGCCTTATCTAAACCCCCTCACTCGTACAAAGTACTTTAAGCAATGTTTTAAGACAATGGGCTTTAGAGAAGCAATGCTTTTAGAGAATGGGCTTTAGAGAACACAGGACATCTTACCCGAATATCAGATTCCTTCAGTTCCAGTTCAGTGCCATCCTTGTACTTCACCGTGTAGAGCTCAGTGGGAGCATCAAAATTCATCACCTTCACCTCATAATAGAGACTGCTACCAGGCCAGCGCCCCATCACCATCTCCCCACTCTGAAACTTGCTGCTCGGCATTGTCTAAAACCTACCTAGAAACAAACAATTTAAAATTAAAAATAAAGTAATTTAAGGCGCACAGCTGGAAATTGGAAAATAGGAAGAACTCAGTTTCTCAGAACAGGGGAAATTATGCATATAACAGCCTCCTTTTATCTGGATACTCTAAGGAAGATTAGGTCACAAAACAGTAAGCAATTTATAAGGATTTGTACAATTAATGTTACAATGAACTAATCCTAACACTCAACAGTGTGTTGCAATAACTTTCCCATCTAGTGTGAAATACAACTTATTTCATACTTTAACCACATGGCACTAAATTTGAAGGAAAATGACAACAGCTGTTTAAGGATTGTACATTTCTGACATCTAATAACCATGTCTAAAACTATGAATATGGTAGAACTTGTGATTCTGAAGTATGATTCAGCTGCTGAGCCTTTTTCAAGTGAGCTACACATCAACACAGCTTCCCACTCAAACATAATGCAGACTTCTTATGAACCCACAAAATCCTTTTCAGACCCGGACTGTCTTGTACTTCTTGTATTTATCTTTTACTTTGACATAAAATTCACAGGAACAGTATTTTACAAGTTAATTAACATGCCAGAAGAAACAGTAAAGAGGCATTGTACTCATACAGTAGTAACAAATACTACAGCTAGGATGTAAGTAGTTTTGTGAGCAATGTGCTTTTCACCAAACTGCTGACACAACTATTCCCAGCGTGGTTACTCTGAACGTTTGAAAACAGACAGTTCAATACTGCTTCTTTTGTTCACTTTGTCAATAGCCATTGTACAAAGCAATCAGCAACATACAGATACTTACTGAAAGTCCTTTATCAGACCTCCCTGAATTATCCAATCATACAAAAACACACAACTCTGATCCTTGGTATGTAGTTACCTTGTACACAAGGGGGCGTGTAATGGGATGTGTAATTATGTTCTTTGATTTTTTAATGTTTGCAGCAGTACTGCCTCTTTTGTTGATGTTTCTTTTTAGGTTAAACAGACCATAAGTGAACAAGAAGAAAAGAAAAATCAGCAATTTAAAAGTGCTGATGCACACACCAGGAGAAGACAGTGGCAGATCTGTTTATAATTCACTCCACTGCAGCCATTCATTCTAAATATGTAAATATTAATAGAAATCACATTAGTAAGTCACACAGTTACTAAATGTCTTTAGTAGAATAGACAAATAATAGAAATGTAAATGTTTAAAACTCAAAACTAAAAGATTCCATAGAATAAGTAATAAATATATAACTACTGTACTCCAGTATGACAGCACTGGAATTTCAGGAGTTGGATGCACCAGTAAGAAAACGAGATCCTGTACTTTATTTCATTGCCAGGGACAGTCCAACAGCAGGTCAGATGGGGAAACTGACAGAGCCACAAGCAGCACTGCTGTCACATTTCAAGAGGGAAAGCTGGTATCGCAACGGTGTTACATACGTAATATAGAAAACCTTATCTTACAATAAATAATACCAGGAACAGTAAAAAAAAATCATAAGGTTGCCTTGGCGAGTTTTAGTACGGTACATGTCAATCTATCCCTTAAATGATACTCATCTCAGTGGCCCAGTTTGCAGGCTTATTAGCTTTGAACATGATCTAAGGGTGTCCGAGTCTTTTGTTCCCTTTCCTCCGTGATCATTATTATTATTCTTATTTATTGTTGTTGTCATCCTGTAAAGCGCTTTGAGAAGCCACCTTTAAAGGCGCTATATAAAATAACGTTTATTATTATAATTATCAACTTCGGCAGCCGGGAAAACCTCTCGCCCTGGCCTGGGAATAAGGGAGCCTAAGAGGCGGGGCTTCGCACTACATTACTTTAACCCAGTCTCTTCTGGGCGGCTTAAGGATTTCACATTTTAACGACCTGAGAGAAATTCAGGCTGCACTGACAGAAGTGAAGTTTATTTATATGAAAGTAAACCCACAGGCGGCCCTCTGGAGGTTAGTGGTCGCAGACTCTTCTCCACTCGGCCAGACTACTGAACACTGAAAGCGGCCCAAACTTTAAAAGTCCGCCACGTTGTTCCAATAAACGCAAGAGACGGCAAAATGTTGTGTTAGACGTACAGCGCAGAGGCCCGAGCAGCGCCGCAGAATTTCGCTTAAAACAGGAAATGTGGCCTCACAGTGTCCTGGTATCTCTCTGTACATTTAAGCAAAATGAAACCTCGCATTGCCGCGCTAAGAGAGATGCCCCGGTGGTGTTTAAAAGCAAGAAATGAAAATGCGTCACCAACGTAATTCCGGTTTAGCGCCGCTCTTTCTCAAATCTGCTGTAGTGGGTTCAACTGAAGCGAACATGAGCCGAACAACTAACCTCTGACATAAAAACAACCTGAAAAGAGCTGCACCACGATTTTACAGAGACGTTTGGTTGTGGATACGTACAGCAACATAAAACGGCATTAATTGCTGCTTGGTTTTTGTTTTACTAAATGCAACATTGTCATCTTGTATAAAAAGACAAGATCGAATGACTTTAAATTACAGTACAAAAGCGTCTGCATTATAAATTATGCTGGCCACTTGGTAAATATATATAAATTAAAGGTGGAAGACGGGCACGGACTCTCGTTTCAGTTTCACCAAGTAACAGGTCAGAGAATGGCAACAATATTCAGAAATTAAAGTCTCCACCGTTGGGAGAAAACAAGTCCCGAAACAGTATCGGCTCCTTTAACAAACAACAAACCGGGTGACACCGGAGTGGAGGGAAAACGTCACGATTCAAACATTGCTGGCGTTTAAACCCAATTATAAAGCGTGTGGTGCAGCGCCGAGCGCCAGGAAACGATGCAAGAACAATCTGAGCAGGTGCGAGTCGCCCCCCAGTTACTGAACATGAACTGGCGCCAGAGTCAAATCAAAAACTGGAAAAGGCAGAAAAAAACAACGAGAAGACAGACATGTTATTAGGCCTTTCGCGCGAAATGAGAGAAACAACGCCCTTAAGACCACGTTTACCAAAAAAAAAAATACCGACCGATCCCTGTGGTTATTATTACGACTCTAATGGTTATTATAAACCACAAAAGGCACCTTATTGCCACAATCCAGGGATTAAAATAGGGAGAACCGCCACCAAAGCGCGGAAAGTAAAGAAGTCACCAGGTTAAACCCAGCACATGTAAAATTCGCCCTTAAGGGTTAACTTGGAAGGGTTTTCGCGATCTCTGGTTCGAGTTTTGCGCCTTCGCTCCAGTTTTCACTTCACGGATCCCGAGGCAGAAGAGGCGACCACAAAACAACATCGGCGTGCAATTTACACCCAAAAGTTACTACTGCAATCCAGAGCCTGCTAACCAAGTGAAAACAAAATGAAGTGTGCTTACCTTGGAGTCACGTACACCGAAATCAGCGATTATGACCCAATATGTGATGTAATTAGTTTAAAAACGATTAATAATTATAAGTCTAAACAGTACGTTCCACCTCCCTCTCACAGGCAAGCCCCTGGCGTCGGTGATAGCGCGAAGGCTACTGATTGGTCCGTCAGAAAGAGTTTGAAAATTTCAAGCGACGCTGATTGGCGAGGCGGGGATCACGGGTCGACAATGATTGGAGCTAAGGCGAAGTCAAACAGACCGGCTTGTCCTGCAGCTCTTTGAGTCTTTTAGGCGAGTGACACAAAATGGCTGCGGTAGAGAGTGGTGTTCGGAGCGCGGGAGCGGAGAGGCTTTTGCTACCTCTTTTAAGAGCATGATCACCGAGTGAATAAACCGTGCGGACTTTCTTTGATTTTGTGATATCCACTGAAATAAAGGTTTCGTTTAAAAAGGTATACGTAAATTAACCGTTGCACATTTTGTATATCTGTATTTTATTGTTTTTAAAGTGACTATGAGCATATTTTGCACACACCTATTTATTTCGTATTACAGTACGTATTTTAATTTTTCGCCAATTCATACGTCTGTTTTTGCTTGTTTTGGGCTAGGCTGCTGTAAAACCTCAATTTCCCTTCGGGATCAATAAAGTCTTATTCATCTCTTGTGTTCCGTAGTCTGTTGCGACACACTCAGGAAACCAACGGGAAATCCTATTATTTTAAACTGAGGTGCTCAATTACTTAACATTTTAGCATTTGTGCATTTCCATTTGTAGCTAAAACTAACGTACACAGTAAGGTAGCTCTGATATAACTTTGCTCTGCTGATAGGCAACGTCAGTTAATACGCACTTGAGCATTACGCTAAAATTGGTTTATTGTTTCTTGTAATTTCGCTATGATTTGGTCTAGGCAAATACCCATTTATAAAAAAGTTATAGATGTGTACGCAACACAAGAGATGAATAAGACTTTATTGATCGCGAAGGGAAATTGAGGTTTTACAGTAGCCTAGACCAAAACAAGCAAAAGCTAATCTGTATGTATTATCTTGCCTTATAAAATCACTAACAGCATTAAAGAAAGATAAAAATGGACAACGAAGGAGTGAAAAGGGGGCATTCCGTTACTTGAGATTTGTAAACCCGGCTTTTGCAGCAAAAGTCAAATGCGAGTTTAAAAAATCCATTTTTTTTTCAGATCTCATCACCATCAACTCTTATTGGAATTATTTAGATTCTGTCTTGGTAATCAATATCTCCGTTTTGTCTTCAGCACATTCACAGTAAAAAATCATCTATAGTTCTATGACAATCAATGATTTATGATTTGTCTATTTTGGCATAGGATTTGGAATGTAATGCAATTTCCTTCCAGGTTTCGTTGTTAATACCATTTTATTTTCTCAGTTTGCCAAAAAGAATGTAATGTAAAAACGTATTGTTTTTCACAGAATACAGTCCCTTCCTCTGCCAAAAACAATACAACACATCTTGATACCAGACATTGCAGATTTGTTGCCGTGTTTCAGAAATAGATCAATGATAGACCCAACCTACAGTAGTGTGATCACATGATACTGGTAAACATAAAAGGGTCTGTTTTCCGACCTGTTTAGGTGAATACATAAATATGCACAGACTATAGTGGGCTTATCAGGAGCTGAATCATCTTGGAAAACGATATTTGGAGCGGTTAAAAACACAGTACTACACAAAGGGGATGTGTCCAATCAAATGAAAGAATGGAGCATGAGGTATGCATCAGCTCTGACATTCTTAAAAAAACTCTAAAGAAGGCAGATATAATATAGGTATGTAACCTTCTACCGTGCACTCAAGTCACAGCTGTTACAGTTAGGAGGAACATGTGAAGAAATAAACCATTGAAAGTGCTGCCATGTCATTCATGCCTCAGTGCACTACTTCCTAATCTCAACTCAAGATTAACAGTTAAATTAAGGACAATGTCCAATGTGGGTGTTGTAAAATGCTACCGATATGTGTCTAAAATGCACGTTTTAGTTTAGTGTAAGAAATGTACAGTATAAGGAAATTGTGTGAGAAAAAAAGCTTAAGTTTAAGAAAATATTTTTATTGAAACTTCTTTGTCACCTGATTGTGGAGAATCTGGGCAGCATGATGGTGCAGACTTAGTTTGCTATCTGTCTGGAGTGTAGATTTTCTCTGGGTGCTCTGCTTTTCCAAAAACAAAAACAACATCCCGGTAAGTTAACCGGCTTCTGGGAAAATTGGCCCTAGGTGTGAGTGTGTCTGTCTTGTGATGGCCTAATGTCCTGTCTATGGTGTGCCCTGTCTTGTGCCGATTGTTTGCCCGGTTTGGTTCCAGCTCCCCTGCAAACCTTGAAAGAAACAGTTAGAAAATGAATGTATGTTGAGATTTCCTGAGTGTTACTAACTTTAATACAACATGTATTTCTATATAGAGTGAAGCAGTAAAAATGTGTATCAAAAGCAATGACACTTGTTGCGTTTTAATGTCTCTTAATATATACAGTATAGACAACAGCATTGTATTATACTAGTTCAGGTGGGTAGCTGCGTCAGCATGCGAAGGCTGCAAAGGAACAAGTAATAGGTTTTATTCCATGCTTTAAAAAAGAGAAGAAAGAAAACACAAGGTTTTGGTCATGGTCCAAATGTTGTGTTTTCTTCTCTTTTCAGCATGGAATAAACCTATTACTTGTTCCATTGTATAATACTTACCTGTTAAATACCATCCAGTCCAAGGAACTGTTAATACGGTATGTATTCTACATAATACTGGTGTGTCCCGGTTTTGTCTGAAGTTCCATCTACATGTTGATTGTTTAGATGCCTATTTGCTCAATAATGTGTTTTAAGACGATATTCTCAAAACAGACTGTGAGGAAGTGCTTAAGGAATCTCTCAAGAGGAATCCATTGCTGAAGCCCCTAGATTTTCCACTTAGAAAAACATCCCCCCCCCCAATGCACTTTTCTGGCTCAACTTTGAGAAGTTTCCTGAGAAACATGTTTTTACTATGAAAGCACGTCAAAAAGAAAGAATTTAATATCAGCTGTTGCCCTTACCTGTTGTATCAAGCTTCAGCTATATTGCAAAGCTTAACTTGTTGGAAAGCAGATTATTTTGAAAAAATATGTGAATATACTGTAGAGACGCAATTGAAACAGCAATTATGTTTTGTGTTAATTAATGTTAAGCCTGCACAAAAAATGCACTTCCTTGCACAAGGCTATGATTGGATTTTAAATATATAATGCTGGTTATTGTAGAGCATGAATTTAGAACACCTGTTGAACAAACGGATGCTTCTACAGCAGAGCGTTCATGAACAGTGCTTTTGTTTATTTCCTGATTAAGGCGCAACCGTTGAAATATAACAGCTGCATATTATATTTCTCGATTTCTTTCCTCATTGGCTTGTGCTTACATTTTTCAGATACCACTGTTACCATTGTTAAATGGCAATAAGAGTACAGCACATTAACCCAGGAAAGTCTTCTGGATTTCCTTCACACCAGTCACATCTGAAATCACATTACTCACAGACCCCCTGAAGCACTCTGTAACAGGACATTGTCTGTCACAGGCAAAACATGTCTGTCACAGGCAGGTAGGTATGGGCTGAGAACCTGTCAGGAAGAGGAAGAAATTTATTCCAAATTGGTGAAAAGTCCTGACATTTCTTGGGGGCAGCCAAAAAAACTAAGTGTATTTTTCTCTGAATGCCCAGTGATTTTGCAATCGGGTCTATTTCAAGTAGGAAATACATGTACATTTCTGGAATGGCTTAATTAAAGCTTATGCAATTGAGAACCATACAGCAGATTTCCAATTAGAGATTACAGTATTTATAGTTTCAGGTGCTAAGCAGTTGCAACCTTCAAGTTGTTCATATGCTTGTATAATTCATAAATTGAAATATCTACCCATCTAAGACCTGAACACAATGAAACGTTTCCTGTTAAACAAATTACAGTATTAGTTCACGTAATAATTAAGTTAAACCAACATCTCGGCTACCATGACACTGTGGCATTAAACCTAGGATTAGGAAACCCTTCTTTAAAGATTTGTATGTTCCCTCTGGATGCTTCAGTTTTCTCCCACAGTCCAAACACATAGCGCTGGTTCAATTGGCCCTGGGGTGAGTGTTTGTGCCTTGCGAGTGGCTGGCATCCCATCCAGGGTGTATCCTGCCAGTTGCTTGTCGGCATAGGCTCCAACTCCCCTGTTGACCCTGAATTGGATGAAGGGGGTGGATGGATGGATGGGATGCAAAACATTGATCAAGTCCATCATTTGCAGCCCATGCTGACGTGAACATTCCAACAAGACAAAGGACGTCCTCATGCAGCTCATCTAAACAAAAGCTTTCATGCACAATGAGAATGTGACAGCTCTGCTGTGCATGCCCTACACACTAGATTTGAGCCCATTGAATGTCCATGGGCTGAGATGAGATGAGATGATGTATCATCTACGTCCAGGAGGCAAGAGAACAGCTATTTAATGACAATGTTAATATAGCAAGGCATTGAGGCTCCATTTGTGTATTCATTTAAGTTTCAAAGCAACCGGAAAATACAAAGTGTCCAATTAATCTTGAGCCAACTGACTAAGCTTCTTACAGCATGCAGTGACTCCGTTAGCTAACTGAGTATCTGTAACATGCTTTTAGAATTAAAAATGATTTTTATCTCTTACCTTATTAGTACAGTGTCTGTAAAAAATCTTAATGTTCAAAGGCTGCTCTGTAATTTTATGTTAAGTTTCACAAGTTTTTAAACAAGTATTAATTAATTTAAAATTATTTAAATCATAACACTTGTACATGTACATTGGAACAAGTAATAGGTTTATTCCATGCTGAAAAGAGAAGAAAGAAAACACAACCTTTCGGCTGTGGAGCCTTCTTTGGGTGTGCCTTTTTACTGCTAGAGGGCTTTAACTAAAATCATCTAAAGACTGATCCTCAAAATAAATCCTCATTTATTTACTGATCCTCATCTGATAACACGAACACAGAGTTTAAGATCAAAGGAAAAGATATTATCTTCAGTTACAGCCAGTAATCTCAGAATGACATTACCTTATAAATTACACAAAATGCCAGTGAAGGCATTTGAAATAAAATGGTTGGTTTTAATCAATAACCTGCAAATCAATGACCAATTCTTCTACTACAGACAAACCTGAACACTTTAGGGAATAGGCAATTATAGCTCAAAAATGTTTTGTATCCCGTCAGGGGAAGGAGACCTGTTTGTTATTTGGAAGTGGTCAAAAGTGCAGTCTAATAATTTCCTGTAAATCAGATTGGTTTAGCTGTATATATTTGTAAAAGAGTTAACATAACCTGGGTGGCCAGTGGTTAGCATTGCTGTCTCACAGCATTGGGGCCCTGGGTTCAATTCCTGAACTGCTACCAGTGTGGAGTTTGCATGTTCTCACTGTTTGTGTG